CCTGCTATCCCTATTGACATGACGAGTGAGTGATCTTATAATTCTATAGTAGGGTAGCGGCAGAAAGAAAAATCACTCGTGTTTAGTCAGTGATGGTAGGTGGTATGGTGAGGTGAGGTAAAATTCGTAGGGATTGAATGAGCCATCTATCTGTGTGTCCATTATCTTTAAGTGTGCCAACATGTGATGTCTTTGGGGCCGACACACTGCCACATCCATGTCGTGGCCCTGGATAACGCAGAGAGCAATGTACTAACAAATATAATTTTCAACCTAATTGTTTCCGCCAAAAACCTACACATTCCACCATAAGACTTTGAATTCGATGAAGGGAGGCAATTCTAGACATTTACCAAATTTTCATAACGAGATTGACATTTCAACAAAAGATGAATATTGCCGAACACAATGACATAAATTTCAAATTTTTCACATGGTTTTTCTAATTTTTCATCATTTTCACTCAATAATTGAATTGCATAATCGAGTATTCTATTGATTTTCAGGTCATGCCAACAGAAATACAATGAAATATGAGTTTTCAATAACAAGAGTCCTTGACAATTCAGTGAAAGTTCAACACGATGAAAATTTCCGGCTTTCAGCCATAACAATTAAAATATGAATTTATAAGAGTGTATCGGTATGTAAGGTTGAGCCCAATGACCAGTTCAGAATACCTTTTTTTCAATATTTGTGTTGTTGAGAAGTAGTTTTTGGGATTTGAGTGCTCGCAATTCTACGTAGAGCTCTTGCATTTCACTATCTCTTCACTATCTTCTATGCTCTTCACTATCTTCTAACAGCCTTCCACAGTCTATGTCATCGTTCTCAGTCCTTTCTTTTTCTTTGTCTACTTTTCCATGAAGATTTTTATCCATCATCTGACAGTCATCTTTTCTATCAGTTTTTAATCTTTCTTCTCTTTTCTTTCCCTGACGAGTCTGTTGGTCTTCCGATAGTGGAATTCCTAAGCTTTCTGAATGTAATGAAAATATGATATTTTTTTTACTAAGAAATTTTTAGACGTGTTGGCATATTTTTAAAAAAGAAAACTCCTCTCTCCTCTACGCATTCGGACCGGGATAAGTATACTCAAAACCTCAAAAGTTCCTCGCAAAATACTTGGAATACGCTTATATGCCTAATTATAATATCGTCAAAGTATGCCTTTTTCCCGTGAAGATCAATTTTACGGTCACTCCGATAATAATTAAATGACGTTTAACAACGCGTTTATCAATTTAGATAGTCCTTCTGTGGTTCTAGAAAGACATTCAACAGTATTAATTGCCACTACACCAATTTAAATAAAAACGTGTACATATTAGCTCGTCTTTCGTTATGCCATTCAGACTAATCTATAGGGCTAGAACAGATCCAAATAAAAAGGGACTTTTATAGCGAATCGAATGCCGCAAAAATGTCCCAAAACTTTGTACAATTTCTACTAAAAGATGAGTCCACCTTAAGAGCTTCAAAAAATACTGCAAAACTGTGAAACTGCAAAATTTTCGCGGGTTCTTACTGTAGTGCTCATAGTATCGGTGCCTCAGGTATCAACTATGTAATTTAATCAACTGTATCAATCGATGCGCTGTCGACGTCGTAGTAATCTTCGCATACTCTTTTTTCTTTCTCTGATTGTCATTACTTTTTTCCTTGCCGTTGTTGATGGCTTCTAAATCATCAGGTGCAGTACTGCATCCTTGGACATTATCCCCGATCCAGCGATGTTGAAGTAGGAACCTGTCAATATTGTTTTGTTTAACTCTTGCATTTTTTCCTTTGCTTTTGTCTTTAAGAAGATTTCCACCGGTATCATATTCCAAGCCAGACAGCCACTCTTTATCATCTAATGATTAACAATTTGTTTCAAGTAATTATTAACCTATTACTTAGTAAGAAATGCATAAACTGACGATGGAAACAAGCATATACAATCTTCGGTTTGGCGAGGCTCAGGACATGGAAAAAATATATATCCGGAAATATCTGTCAATTTTATCGGGATATATGTTGCATGCCTTTAAAAAAAGCGTTATCCTATATTTAGGATATATTTACGATATATCTGTGCAGATATATCTCACCGCTTACATTGAAGATGTACACTGAGAGAAAAATGTAGTAAAATGTAGTAAATCTATTTGTTTGCGATCAAAAGTCGTTATTTTTATTAAATTAGATTCAAAATAATCAAAAATATTTTTGCAGTAACCATTGCATTGATTTAATCCTACGATAGATTCATCCTAATTCACTGTTCCTGAACAAATATGTAGTGAAAATAAATGAATATACTCTCAATGACATAGTTAGATAAAATCGAAACAGAAAAATCAATTATTTAATTCTATTATATTAAGTGTTTGTGACTATTTAGAAATAAAAACATATTTTTAAAATGTTAAAATACAAAAAAAATAATTAGCTGAGGTTACCAAATATGTTTCCAAATTAAATGCATCCTCAGGCATATTTTAACACATACTAATTACAAATTGGAATTTTGCAAATAAGTAAAGTTATAGTTGAACTTCAAAATTTCAATTAGTTATTTTAAACAAACTTATTCAATTCAATATTGAGCACTCTCAATCACATATGTGTTTGCGACTATTCATTAATTTAATTTGTTAGTTACAAAACAATTTTTAATTTAATTTACTATTTTTTTTCTTCAGTGTATTCAAAATATAAGCTAAATATATTAACGATATAAATTCATAAGGGCGATTATCAAGCAATGAGAAATTGTTTATACAAATATCTATAACCAATCATATAATTCATGTCAATAAAGCGCGAAGGATAGTTAAAATTTGATAATTCAAATGCCAAGTCTTGTTCAATCCTTATGAACTGGACCTGAAACGAGGTTTTCGTTTTGGGGGTTAAGCCTCATGCCCGATTAAACATTTTCCAGTCTTGCTCCAAGATTTCATGAGTCCTATTTTTGCCGTTAATTCTATCCTGGAAACATAATTAGTACTTACCGCTTGTTTTCAATACGTCCGCCTCAAACCATTTTCTCCCCCACTTTGTCCATAATTCATTATTGTCTTTCTTCTCAATCTCTGCTGTTGGTACTATACTAATTTTACGTGGTTTTTTTCTTCACTGTACGAGTGACCACTTCTCCGCATTATCAGTCATATTGCTGTCTAGGATTTCAAATTGATATTGAACAGAACGTACACAATCAGAATACACATATAGCCATTATCCAAGCACCAGTCTTAATGAATTAATACTGAAAGTAGCAAAAGCATAGGAGCACATTTCAAGCGGAGGTGGGTTATAGACATATTAGAACATTTAGGATCAGTTGCACCAAGTCCAGTAAAAACAAAATTCAACTTAAACTGTAGGTAGCCTAGAAGGCTTTCATTGAAATAAATTGAACCAATGATTTAAATAGCTAACAGAGTGTGATGCAGCCGGTCCTAAGATATTTGTTAAATAAGAAAATCTTCCTTGTATCAGGACACTATTTAGTAAAAAAATTTTTCAAGTCTGGCATATGAATCTTGTGTAAAACAATGACTGTTACGAGAAAATTTGAAATTTTCAATTAAAAAATGTTGACAATTGTATTAGGCATCCATGTTCTTTTATAAATCAAGATATTAATTCTGGTGATGAAATATATTATTCGCTTTAAAAAAATTTGATAGCAACAGTTATTTTCCATTTTTGAGGGAAGCATGATCGGATTGATAGAAATTCTATAGATAAGTGATTTTTCATTATTTATTACCAAGCAATGGAAATAACTTCTAAATCTCATAATGACCTATCAAATAATTATAACATTTTTAAAATTGATGCAACATAAAATAAGTCCAACAATATACTAAATTGGAGTATATAGGTTATACTTAAAATAAGTATGATAACATACTTATATCAAGTATATTTTATAGTTGATCCTAGTAAAATTGATCATTACAATTTGAAGAAAAGAACAGTATCTTATGATATTGCGAAATGTGGTTATCTCTGGTATTGCATCGAGTGTGTTGGAAATGAGTGGAGAATTAGGCTATACCTGTTTTTTTAAAAGAAAATTCTGCAATTGGAAAAATACGATTTTCCTGTTACTTTCGCTATCAAGCTTTTTCTACCTTTGGGACTCTGCTCAATTGAAATTCTTGCAAGTGTTGTCACTTAATGATAAATCAAGCTATGTAAGAGACGGTTGTTGGTTTTCCGTTTATCCGAAATCAGTGCTGGTCCTTCTTCGTTGCCTAGCAGCGGTTGTTGATTTTCCGTTCAATCACGACAAGGAAAGGATGCCTTCACCCCACGAAAATTGAAGAAATTCATGTTCATATTATAAAGTCATTGTGAAATGGGAATCTGTTGTAAGATAACAGTGTCGAAGTTGTTGGCTTAGGAATCGATGCGATAGGAAAATTCAAGGTAAAAAACATTCATTTTTAAATTAAACTCTCCACAAAAAACGTAACAAAAACCGTTCGTAGGATTTCTCCAAAAATATTTAATAACTGAGATGAATTGATAGTTAACAATTTTTATTTTTAACTTGAAGAATTCAAATATTTTTCTATTTCATTGAGTTTTGTTATTACGAGATTTATCCAATTGATTTTCTAACCACATAATGATAATGCATTGATTTATTTGAAGGGAAGAAGTCTTGCTAGGAAATTTAATAACTTAAGAGTGACGGTATTATTATTATTATTATTTTATACTATTATTTCTATTATTATTATTATTATTATTATTATTATTATTATTATTACTATTTTATAATCATCAACAAAATTCCTCCTAGAAAAGAAATCCAGTAGAGATCTTGTAGACTATTTTTCGGCATTTACTTGTTGCAATCAAATTGGGTTGACATAAATAAATTTTTCCGTGCTGCTAATCAAGCATTCTCTTTCGGGTATTACATACGTACCAGACTCGAAAACTGGAAAATCGCTACGGAAAAATATAGTTTCTGGGTGGTAGTTATTGCGCTTTCTACTCGTATGATCGGCCGTCTCGAAACTAAAATATTTTTGTTAAAAAATGTTTAAGGCTGTTTAAGGCCGTGAAATGATGACATCTTTTCAAGCCTGAAAAGCCAACGTTGAAACAGGGTTCGTAGTTTAGCCTAAAATAAACCTTGATGAACGAAATTTACAAGGTTGAATAAATCCTGACAGCATATGTTAATTTTAAATAGTACAAAAAAATAATAATTTACACCTTTATGGATGATTTTTATTATTAATTGTGCTTCACCTACGCAACCCTAACGCAATTATCGCTAAAAATCCGATTTTGTTAAGTTAAAATATTACAACTACTTGGATTTGAACCTACGATCTAACGATCACTAATCCTACGAACTAACGACTTCTCTACCGCGCAATTCTTAAAATATATTTGTCCACGTTATTTTCCAGTACCCAAGTTGATTCCCTATTCTGATGTAGTAGATCTGAAATATTGGATTTACAAACAACAATGCCACGTCGTAATTTGCAGCATGCTGAAAATTCCAGACGAACGTTGTACCGTCTTGCTAGTAAACGTAGATGCAGGAGAATTGAATTAGTATTGAGCAGTGAAAGTGACAGTGGAGATTCATCATTTGATTGTAGCTCATCTGATTCAGGTAAAATCAGTTCGTCAACTTTGCCACTGATTTTTTTCATAATATATACGTTCCAATTCAAAAATGCATACATAGCACATGGATAGATAATTTCTCTGGGTCATGAAAAATATTCGGCGATTGTGGAAAAAATTTTCCTTTGCACGTGGAAGGGTAGTAGAGGAAGGTGTGCCTGTACAATTTAAGAGTAACCAATGCTACTCACTCGATTTTCTCCGTAACTGTCGACTCTGAAATTGTCTTATCTTGCCAATTATAAATTAGTAGGTGATAGCATGTGATTGTCTGAATAATTTCCCTTCGTTTGTCACTTCAAATATAAAAATATCCTTCACAGTTTAGAACTTCGAAAAGTCATAGTATTTGAAGTTATCTGGGGTAATCTAGTCGCCCTACTTTCACGCATAATTGGAGACTGATTGAAGAGAACCACTCGCCTCGTATCAATGATTATTAACCATTTTGTTAATATTTTTTCCCATCGGATGTGAAAAAAAAAAGATTTTTCAACACCTCATATAAAACGATCCAACGGCTTACAAATAAGGTCTATTATTAATTTATAAGAAATAAATATATGAAGAATCATCAATATTTTGTGAAAAGTCATTTAAATGATACTGACTAAATAATTAGAAAGCTGAAAATCTTTAAAAACAGCGTACCCGGTACCCGGCCGCAGGGTATAGCTTCTTTCATGGGTTCTTTCTTGTCTTTTACACTAGAAAAGTTCACGCGTGTATTGCTCGCTCTTAAGGCGATAGATTAAAAGAAAAGAATATAACGCATTTTCTTAGAGGAAAGTATGCCTTGTCGCTTTGCAGAAAATATTTGATGATTTCATGCATGTAATGCAATTTTCGGCGAAATTAATTATCTGCACTGTGAAAACAACGAGTTCAATAGTCAAACACGCCTTAACAATATTTTTCTACATTCCAGTTCAAATACAAAATGTGGTCATGCTTCTTTTTCCTTCCTTCCTTCTCTAATCATATAAAATGAAAAAGTTCTTCACGGCCTTGCATTCAACTCAAAAATCGAAATTGATCGGGCATTGTGGCAGAATATACCCGTTCTTCTCGTCATAAATAAACAAAAGTTCTGCTATTCAAATAATTCATTTTTTATATCTTTCTGGTCGTTAATGAAGCCAATTGTGCTATAGAGGCCTGGATTCCGGGAGCCCTTTTCTCTTCCTTTACGATTTAATTACGTTTTCAAGAACCAGTTGAAATGCGGCATATTAATATTAGCTCCTCTTTTGAATTAATTTTCAACTTCAATAATTGTTTCATTAGATAAATAAATTTACCAGCGCGCTGGGCTTATATTTCCGAGGGGTTTTTTTCATTCCTAAAAACATTTCTGGGATATGACATTTTTAAAGGGGGAAGGTGAGGGGTGCCATCTGGCATTGCATCAAGAGTCACTCGTTCGGATAGATGCGTTGGTTCTATACACCTTGTTTTTGAATGGAAGCATTGTTTTTCATCTGAAGAGTTGGAACATTTTGCAAGTAAGGGGAAAGGATGCCTTATGATATTTTAATCGTAGCCATTCATTCGAATGCATGCATTCACTTTTCACGGTTTCTATTTTTTATTATTACGCGATAAATTACCAGGACTTGGAATTTCTGAAGGGGTGCACTATGCACGGAGAGTCGGAGGGTTGGAAATCTGATTACGTGAGGAGTGGATTACCTGATAACAGTTTAATGATAGCCACCCGTCCGCATAGATGTGTTTATATTATATCATTGTTTTTCTTGTTACGTGGACAATTCCTGGGATTTTAAATTTTTGAGAGCAGAAAAGACACATATATGGGGAGGGTTGAAAATTCGGTCAAGTGAAGAAAAAAAGCCCCTGCTGATAATAGTCACTCCCTCTTTGATACGTGCGTGCGTCTTCCAACGCCTTAGAACTTCCAAGTGCCAGAAATGTATCACGGAATTTGAAGAAAAAGCGTTCACGGGGTTGGGACTCCAGTCAGGGCATCTTTAACAAATATTGATCGTCATCTTTAGCGTTATCGATCTTTCTCACTTTTCTGATATATTTATTTTCAGACGATGAAGTGAACGATCAATTAAATAGTGGAAAAGATGATACTAATGACAGCCATGAAAATCTTGAAGTGACTGAAGGGTGCAACGAAATCCTCTCTCATAGGCAAGAAGAAGTAGAAACTCCTGTTCCGTTTAATGATTTTTCCGACAATGATGTCGGATCAGTGGAGGGCGGAATCGAATCGAAATCTTTAACATTCGATGACGGTACTGGAAACGATGAAGAAGATTTCTATCCTTTCGCAAATGGGGATGATCAGGATGAACCCCTTTATCCCGAATCACCCATAACAGTTGCTGAGAGTTTAACAACAATATTACAATTTTATATGCGCCATAAATTATCAGATTCGGCACTAGAAGATTTATTGCAACTCATTTTTCTTCACTGCCCGGTTCCGCACAAATGCGTTAAATCTCTTTATTCTCAGGAAATGGCTCCGTAAGT